ACAACGGCCTAGAGCGTCGTTAAGGGAAACGCTAATTCGTTTTGCGAGAGGAATTCGGTTCAGGTGTATGGAGACTTCATTCGATTAGAGTTCGTTTGGTATCATTGAATTTGTGGGGATTCAATCTTGGACGATTTCTTCCGTCGTACGGATTCGCTGCGCGTTTATATTCTATTCCCTTGGTTTTTAGTTTATTTCTAGGAAAATTGTAACGCCTTTTGGATAGAATATCTTAAACCTTCCATAAAGGGACACTTTCTAGTAGAAGATTTATAAAAATTATTGGGGAAGTTGCAGTGCAAAATCAATTTTGTAGCTCCATTAGGTTTAGAAGTAGATGTCTAAATAACCAAAGTTCGTAAACCGCGTTAAAATACTTAGCACGCGTGTTCGTTAATATTTCGACGGTGAACGATCGAACAGGTTCGAAAACGTTGACCGACAAACGCAGCTGATAGTTTAATTATTTTGGTTCGCGTGAATTTAGTGGGTTCGCTCTTGTCTATCCATTTTGCTCGACATAGAACAAAGCGGCGAGAAGTGATTTCATTATCGTGCGGACTTTAACGGGTTACCACAAAACGAGCGGTCATCTATTACCGCGGACACACGTAGCGATGAGCACCGTTTAAGGTCGAGTTTCAACGAACGCACACCGTACACACAATGAATGTATACAATTAGTCCCATAAGTACGATGATCGCGTTTAAATTACATTTAACTATAGCCTGTGTGGTTTACAAATTATATTGGTGAAAATTGAATTTTGGAATTTGGGGACTTTTGTAGCTGTAAGCTTCGGGTCTCGAAAATTTATATATATTTAACATACAAGTTTAAAGAAACATAGATTTGGAAATTTAAAAATGTATCAATGTATCAATGTATCAGTGTATCAATGTATTAATGTAATAATGTATCAATGTTTTAGTGTATCAATGTATCAATATATCAATGTTTTAGTGTATCAATGTATCAATGTGTCAGTTTATCAGATTATCAATTTATCAATTTATCAATTTATCAATTTATCAATTTATCAATGTGTCAGTTTATCAATTTATCAATCTATCAATTTAACAATCCATCAATCTATCAATCCACCAATCAATTAATCCATCAATCTACCAATCCATCAATCTATCAAGCTACCAATCCATCAATTCATCAATCTATCAATCCACCAATATACCAAGCCACCAATCAATCAATCCATCAATCTATCCAGCTACCAATCCATCAATTCATCAATCTACCAATCCACCAATCTATCAATCTATCAATCCATCAATTCATCAATCTATCAATCCATCAATCTACCAATCCACCAATATATCAATCTATCAATCTATCAATCCATCAATCCGCCAATCCATCAATCTACCAATTTATCAATCCACTAATCTATCAATCTACCAATCTATCAATCCACCAATCCATCAATCTATCAATCTACCAATCCAAAAACCTATATATCTAAAAATTTACTCAGAACCCCAAAAGTCTATAAACCTAGAAATCCAAGAATCAACAAAGCCAACATTTTCAAGTGCAAATCACATCCACTTAAAAAATGTAGCACGGCAGAATTTCCCAGGAGGATCCAAAAGGAGGGCACTGCAGAGGAGCAACATAAAACCGTGAAAAATTGTTGCAGAGACAAGCAGCTCCGTGCCGGAAATCTTTCATTGCCGACAATTCAGACAATTCGTCCGTGGCAGGTCGGATTTGCGACCGCTAATTCCTAGTGTTAACGTACACATCGGTGACGTAATTGAATTTTCATATTATCATGCGTCGCGTTACGTTCGCCTTCCGATCTAGATGACCCGAAAGTTTCTATCACGCGTTATTTTACCAAGCGCTAAAGCCGACGCGAAACTTCGTGACCCACATTCCACCATAATTTCACGCGTAAGCTTAAAAACTCGAGCAAAAATTTCGAAACTTTATTCGACGACAATATCGCCAATTACCGAGTCGTTGCTCGACAAATTTAACAACATACGAGCTCGTTAAGGCAGTTACGGAGAATTTAATGTGCGCCGGAATATGTTTACGAACTGCTCGGGAAAGTATTTATTCTGTACTCGTTGTTGTACATTATACTGGTCAGCGTTACTGATATTACCGATAGTCGCATGATCATGTACAATATGTTAAACTTTCGACACTGAATTCTGCCAATTAACTTCCTTGTCATATGGCACATCCAACTTGTATTAAAAACTACGGTGAATAAAAAGTGTTAAAGTAACTTTAACACTTTAACTTTAATAAAAGTAACTTTTAACTAAGATTTATTTAACTTATGCATACAAATAGCCGCTGCTTACCGACTGTACTCATCCGAATAAGTTAACCAAAGGTTACTCACCCAAACTCACCACGTTGGAGTAAAGATAATACAAGAACCACCGACACCAAAGGAAAAGCTTGATCTTAGCTCGTTTAAAAGCGATCGCGTTCAACATTGCATCGAAGATTGTTCCGCCTTAAAGATCGACCGATCCACGCATAGAGGAACCACGGACTGAAATGGCCCACATATTAAACAGCGACATATCGCCACCCAGTCACCCGGTGCATAATGTGACCCAGTGGGAGAGAGTACAAGAGAAAAAGAGGAAGAGTTACTGGAACGTGTAACAGGGATGGAAGACGAAAGAACGAGCCCGTATAATACGATTCCCCTACTTGCGAACGAATGAATGACGCCATTCGTTAAATTGCGACCAAGATCCGGATGTGTCGAATCCAAAGTGTTTTATTCGCGTTCGGTAAGAAATATTGATAACTCGATTTTTACCGACAAAATCTTCCTTACATCGAACGACGAAGACGTGGAGTTCAGCGCGAAAGAGGAATTGTCAAAAGACATAATTAAATTAAGAAATTCACTGTGCATTCTATATACGTTATCACGAAAATGTATTATAATACGTGATATATGTCGATAAGTATATTTCTAAATGTCTAGATCCATAGGTTTCTATATTTTTGTTACTAGATCTCTAGGTTTCTAGTAGCGAATACACTTCCATGATACATCAAGTATCCCTAGATCTCAGATACGACGAACATCCCTATGTTCCAAGTATCCCTAGATCGCAAAAATCTTTGGATGGAGAAATCCCTAGATGGAAACATCCTCAGTTCGAAAAACCCCTAAATAGAAAAATTCCTAGATAGAAAAATCGCTAAATAGAAAAATTGCTAGATGTGAAAATCCCTAGATGGAAAAATTCCTGGATGGAAAAATCCCTAGATGGAAAAATCCCTAGCTGGGAAAATCGCTAAATGGAAAAATCCGTACATCGACAAATCCACAGATCGAAAATATCCCTAGATGGGAAACCCCCATCGGAAAAATCCCTAGATTCAAAAATTTCTAGCTCGGAAAATCCCTAGATTGGAAAATCCATAGATCCAAAAAATCCTTAGATGGAAAATATCCTTAAATCTAAAAATCCCTAGATTGAAAATCCCCAGCTTGAAAAATCCCTAGATCGGCAAATTCCTAGATTGGAAAATTAATAGATCGAAAAACCTTCTTAGATCTAAAAATCCCTGAATTGAAAAATCCCTAGATTGAAATTACCTAGCTTGAAAAATCCCTAGATTGGAAAATCTCTAGATTGTAAAATCTCTAGATTGGAAAGTCCCTAGATTGGAAAATTGATAGATCGACAAAATCCCTAGCTTGAAAATATCGCTAGATTTGAAGATCCCTATATTCCCAGAACCTTAGCTCTCCACATCTTTAAGTTCCAAATATCTCTATATCCCTATATTGTACTTATATTTCTATAGAAAGCAAAATACAAAAAGATACAACTGACCTTATGTGATTAAAAGTTGTATAGTTATTAATAAATAAGTAAAACGCAATGTTTACAGAAAAACAAGAAATGACTCATAAACAATGTGGCAAGAAACTGCAACCTGATCAATTCTAGGACACCGTCTTCATTCAAGCTTGAACGAGACGAACGTGCATTGCCAACAGATTTCACGGAAATACGAATAAAATGTGGTGCACGTCTGCATGGTCAGGAAGAACGCTAATTACTGAATATGCAATAACCGTAAGAAAGAATCGCGCAAACGAGAAGTTTAACGCTATCGAAAGGATTATACGAAACGCAAGAATGTAGCGAGACCGGAGAACAAACATCGCGTGACTTGTCATTGTATATTCACGTGTTTACATTCCCCTACGTGAACACGCACGTTATAGAGAATATTATCCTTCTAATATCCCGTGGAGCCTCGTAAAGGACTCTCGGAATCCTTCAGGATTACAAATTTCTCGAGGACACAGAAATCTGCTCGATCCTTTTTATCCTTGGAAAATACGCGAGGGGGATCTTTGTTTACGTCTTGTTTTCACTGTAGACTCAACGGAAAAGATTGATAGGATATTATGGAGGATATTAGCTAGTAAAAGCCTGATCGAAGGTCGAGATAAAAATTATGGATCGCAAACAATAATTTGAATTATAGATTCAACGCTAGCGGGGATATTGGTACGCAATTACGAGGAAAATGTAAATTTGCAACGCGATATCGCAGCTAGGAATTTTATGCCATATCGAACAGGTAATACTAGCCTTGCGGTCTCACCGCGATGCGGAGAAAAATCGTAGACCAAAGATTGATTAGTCCTTGTTCAATTTTCACCAGCGTAATCCCAATTATTTCGAACCACCCTTCCTGATCGAGAAATACTTAACAACTATCGAATATCGAAAGAAAAATTTTGTTATAAAGTAAACGTGTGAAAAATAAATATTCGTGTGGAAAAAATTGAATTATATTCACAAAATAAATGAGTTTAATAAAGAGTATTCAATAGTTGATATTTGAATTTCGCGGTTCACGCTGACAAAAATACCGGGCATCATAAGCACATATTTCCGGTTCGAGAACGTGACTGATACGCTGTTGCGCGAATCAACCGTAGTGCGATTAAAACATTATTGATAACAGTACTCACCTAATCACGGCTCTGTCGAACAGGACTGCAGAATGATTACCGTGGACGATCGCTGCAAACGATGATTGATTCACGATCGCGAAACAAGACACTGCGATACACACACTGTTCATCGACCCCGAATCTGCTTCCTTACTTTCTCGTCTGAAACGAAACCATTCAGATTCTATTAACGGAGAAAAAGTCTGCTTAATACCAATTGCTTCATTAATGGACCAACGAGAGCATTCAGATCTTGTTGTTAAAAATTTGTTACATTGTTAATTAAATTGTCAAGATTGATTGTTAAATAATTGTATAATTAAGTTGTCAAATAGTTACATAATTAAATAGACTGATGGTTGCATAATTAAAAAGTTAAATATGTTACTTAATTAAATAGTTACATAATTAAACAGTTGAATAATTACATAATTAAATAGCTAAATAATTACATAATTAAATTGTTAAATAGCTATATAATTAAATTAATAAATAGTTGCATGATTAAATAGCAATCATGTTACTTAATAAAATAATTAAACAAAATAATAATAATATTACATAATTAAACAGTTCAATAGTTAAACAATAATAATAATACATAATTAAATAATTAAATAGCAACTATGTTACTCAATAAAATAATTAAAAAACAATAATAATATTACACAATTAAATACTTAAATATTACATAATTAAACAGATAAATAATTACATAATAAAAGAGTTAAATATAAAATAATTTTTACTACTAATTACCGCACTAATTAACCCGTACCAATTAACAGATTTTCGCAGAATCCGAAGCATAAGTAGGACTATCGTACCGGACTCGGTACAGGTTAGTTTTGTCTAGGTACTTGGCTCTTTGACCCCACTTTGCATCACGTGCTAGGCTGAATAGGATCAGGTATCATTTATCCACTCAAACCAGTTGCGATGCTGTAATTCAAGCCTTTTCGAGGGCTACCATTGTTAACGAGCAGAGATATCGATGTTGCTTTAAAGTTAGTATAAATAGTAAACGGGGACTAGTGAAAACACCCTACAGGGTGGAAACACCTTTCAGACTAAAAACCTGATTGTTCAACTCGCTCACTTATTGCGCACTTCACGGTCAATTGTATAGGTTCAACCTAACCTCTTAATGCGTTACGCCATTTTGAATTACTCGTTGCTATCTTTGACAAGTTTTTCTTGAGAAAATGTAAAATGCAGGTATATTATTTTATACTAATTTGTATCAGTACATTATTTACATTAAGGTTGTAAGTAATGTTGTAATTAATATTATAATTATATACATTTTGTTATAACAATAAAATAGTGGAATGTATGATACTGATACTGATACTGTATGATACTGACAATAGGATAGCACAGTAGTACTAATATAATGAAATAATAAAATAGTAATGTAAATGATATAGTAATTTTTTTAATAACAATAAAATAGTGATATAACTGTATGCAGTGAAATAATAAAATAGTACAGTACTAATATAATGAAATAATAAAATAGTAGTGTAAATGTGTAGTACAGTGAACTGTCAAATATTTGAATAGTGATATAGTAATTTTTTTAATTACAGTAAAATAGTGATATAACTATGCAGTGAAATAATAAAATAGTACAGTAATATAGTGGAAAAATAAAATAGTAATATAAGTGAAGTGACCGACCAGTGAAATATTTGAATAGTGCACAGTAAACCGTAGCTGTACATTCGCATAATGTCCGCGCATGACAAAAATACACTTTTGTAGGAATGCTCAGCGAAACAAGAACATAGGGAACAAAGGTACAAGTTTCAGTCCGAAATTTAAGCCGTTCAAAGGATATTTCGTGTTCGTCTTTCCTTTCCTGTTCCTGCGATTCTAAACAAAGAAGAGTCCGGAATGCGTCGTACTTTTCTTCTCGCGACGCAAATGATCCATTCGAGGTTCAATTGGAGCACAAAAGGCACGTTTACGAACAATACGCATCGTCGGAACGGAATGGCTTCGCCCTTTTGATACGCGACTCACGACTAAGTACCTAAACTCACTGTCACTGATATCTTTCTCCGCTGACAATGGACACCCTCCGCAGCTTGAATTACGTCGTTGCGAATGGACCGAATAAATGATATCCGATCCCCTTATCTGCTAAAAACATTGCTAATCAAACATTCCGTCCATTAATGTATAAGTAACAGGTAGATAATTCGACGCCATCTAACGTAACTTCCTGAATAACTTTCGAATTGTATAGGTTAGGATGACCTGTCGAGATGTTATAATTTGAAAGGAAATTTAATATTCTCGGTAGACACGAGTCTACGGTAGAACGTATAAAAATACACATGATACAAAATCGTGCGTTTTCAGGCCGCGCGTTCTGACCTCTCTAAATATAATCTTCATCGATAAAACGGTATTTCGGTCTGGCTAAATTAATTTCAACATTTGTAATAAAATGACCGAGATACGAGGTAAAGGTATTTCCTGATGATTTGTGTATCTGATAGTACAAATTTCTTGTGCAATAAATTTATATTTGTTACAAAAAATGTGATTAGTAATCAAGCTTGATACGGCGACTATTAATGAAGAATAATTCTCATGGCATAATTTATGGTAACTAGACCTCAAAGGTCTAGAGATTCCAAAAAATCCCTAGATCTCATAAAATCCTTATATCCCAGAATCTCTAAATCCCAAAATCCCTGTCCCAAAATCCCCAAATTCTAAAAAAATCTCTAGATCGCAAAAAATCCCTAAATTCTAAAAAATTCCTAAATCAAAAAAATCCCTAAATTCTACAAAATTCCTAGATCGCAAAAAATCCCTAAAATCTTAAAAAATTTCAGAATCCCTAGATCCCGATATCCCTAGACTCCAAAATCCCTAGATACCAATATCCCTAGGCTTCGAAAAAATCCCTAGATCCCAAAATTGATGGTGTTATAGCGATTGTGCTACCGTCACCAGTGGCCCACGAGAAGGCGCGTCATTACCCGATAGCAAGAAATTTGACAGACAATAATTTTCTAACGCGAATAAAGGAAAGCTGTCGAATCGTGACTCTGAAACGTGGAACGTTTATCGCATGCATGAACGATGCACGAACGGTCAAGATGAGAACACGGATTCCTGAGAAAGTTCATAGTGATCACGGCTGAAGATATTAAGGTCGAGCGTAAAGCAACGATGTAACTTTCCCTCGAAACCTTATATTCTCATATGGCATGAAAGCCGATCAATAGCCTCAAAATAGAACGAATGAGCACACGCTTCGTGTTGCACCAAGGAAAAAAGCAACATTTTCCGAACTTAACGTGCAACCTGATGCTAAGACCCACCCTGTTCGTATCGACGGCGAATTATCGAGGTATGAATGGAAACGCGACGTTGCGGAAGAAATTTTACAAAATTTTGACTGAGAAAGGTAATGTGTGGTGGTCAAGAAAATGTCGCTCATTTGCAGATACACGCAGTACGGATTGTTGCAATATAGCAAGGTCGTAAACTTTGGCTACTGTCACTAGTTCCCTGTTTTATACGACAGATATTTATGAAGTTCGAAACTTTGGGGTTATGGAATTTTTTAATCACGATGGGGATCTCACCATATAAATATTTTTGATGTACATAATTACATGGAAAAGCATAACGAGTATTGACAAACTTTACGCTTTATGACTAAAGGCAGACATTTTGTTTGTAGAAAGCGTATTGTTTAGAAAGGTTCAAAGTCTTGACTCAAAGCAAATAATAACATTGGTTATCAGATATCAAAAGAAGTTGCGTTTTATACAACGAAAATGAGTTAATTGTAAAATAAATTAATATTTGCACGATGATTGTTAAAAATTAATCTACGAATAATTAATATCGGTAGAAAATTAAAAAAAGTACTGTGTATTTATAATTTAAACAAAGAAAATGACCTTTCAACTTAAAATCAATAAAACTCTTTAAATACTAATAATCAATTACTAGCGGGAAGAAATTTCAAAAACTGAAGCGTCAGGTTATGATTTATAATTCATACTTTAATCGAGAAATTAAATTGACATTTCTGCAATAAAATATGACAGATGACATAAAAGTTCTTACCGATCAGTGTCGTACCAATTTGTACACAAAATCAACACAATACACAATAAATTTACAATATGATTTATGAATTCCTCCATCACATTGGCAAGTTTCGATCTATTGTACTGAACTAGTCAAAACAATTACCATTTATTTGAAATTAACATACGAACTTGACAATAATACAATTTCATAGAATATATTACTCAAGCAGTTTTATAAAACATTTCTCACTAAAATTATACAAAATATGATTGTTATTCTTTTCTATATTGAATGTATAAATTGACATATAAAATATGACAGAAATACTTGTCTTATTGCACTACCAAACACGCGCGTGTTCGAGAAAGTACAATGTTCGAAACTTTCCAAGATTCCGTACAAAAACAATTTTATAATTAATAAACTAAGCAATTACCTTGAAATCGTCTGCGTTCGGTATCAGGAGTTGTTTCAGCGCACACCTGTTTAAATTTCCGTAACGGTCAATCATCCGAGTTTCTGCGCAACAGAAACGCGTCTAAGCGTGTCGCGATTCAACGATCTCAATCTTCGACACTAACGTCACAGTGATCCTGTTTTACTACGAACTACGACACTACCGATCGCGGCGCGAATACGACCGCGATTCAAAAAGCGCCACTTTGACATCGCGTTATACACGTTCACCGACGGATAACGTGCGAGAGGGAAGAAAAAAAATAAAGGGAACAAACAAGTTCAAGCGATCCGCGGAAAAACACGACTCACGACACTTACGGTCCGGGGTCCTCACAACGACTGACGAAATCGTCGGCAGAGAGCGACACGACAGCCCCCGGCCGGGTTAACGCATGCGCCCTTCGCACCCCGTGCCCAACCCTGTTCTCCCGTTGACCACCCTTCTGTTGCGAGCGCGATTTCGACTACTTGTTTCTTTATTTTTTAATATTTTTCCACCGAAATATTGTTAATAAATATTGACACTAACAGAGATTTTCGTGCCAGCAGTCTCCCGCCTGTTATTGTGATCGAACGATTGGAATTCGAGTCGATACTTGCTTTGCACAATATTTATTCGTAGCATTATGATCGATTCAATTCGCATAACGCAATATCGATAGTGAAACAAGGCATCCTCTAATCATAAATTGTTCAAACACTGTATTGTTCTATTATTTAATCGACGTTTCGTAACTTCCTTCAATTTTCGGTGAATTTTGTTACAGTAGAGCTTTTGACACTGTTATGAATAAAAATCGACTACAACGTCATAAGGGTGTAATTACTTGAGGAAACTTCGATATGTCCTTGTACTTCAATATATGCTAACTTCCTTAATCTAACCCTGATCTGACATTGCAGCAATTAACCAAACTCTCACCTATCCTTATGTCAACCTAACTTGCCTCTAATTCAATATAACGCACACATGTTTTATGATACCATGCAAATAAAACAATGATAGTTTAGATCAGATTTTAAACAGGTTTTCATAATATGACATAGTATGATATACGACCTGAAATACCGACATTTTCTAAACCTTAGTGGCCCAGCTGTTCTGTTGCGCACTCTGGTGCAATGCTCAAAAATGAATAACATTTATTTCCAACCATACCGACAATATTAATATATGGAAGTATTCAACTATACCGATAAAATTCCAATGGATAAGCATTATGAAATTTTAAATTGTAGTTATAAACATTTTTTATAATTTTATGTTCAGACTCTATGAAATGAAACCTTGATAATATCAATAAGAGTTATCGATTAAATAAATAAAAATAAATACAACAATGAATTATAATTTAGTATATTTTAAACTAACAAAATAACACAACAATAGTTTAACAACACTTTATTTAAACAAAGCTGTATCTTTCAATTCAAGCACTGGGAACTGTACTCTTTGTTCTATCCATTTTGCCAATGTAAGAAGGCCCTTCTCATGGAAAGAAGGAGCCATAAGTTGTAAAGATAAAGGTAAACCTTTCTTAGAAAGTTTAATTGGAACATTAACTGCTGGTATGCCTGCCATATTAGCAGGTTGAGTACAGTAATCTTGAATTAAACATTGTGTTTGATTGTCCAGTGACATAAATTCATTATACTTTGGAGCCTCTGTGAGTGTAGTAGGAGTAAGTACAAAATCAATATTGTTGTTCCATAATGCTTCAAAATCGTCTGAGATTAATCTTCGTATCTTCATTGCTTTGATGTAATATTGATCATAATTTTCTTCTAATAAAAAGTAATTTCCAACTAAAATGCGTTCCTTGACTACTTTACCAAATCCTTCTGTTCTTGTTTTTCTATACAATTCTTGTAAAGAATCTGATTCTTCTGCTCTATAGCCATATTCTATTCCATCATAACGAGCCAGATTACTGGTAACATCACAACGATTCAATACTGTGTAACACATTATAGAATAACTTGTATGGGGCAGTGACACTGGGACAACTGATGCTCCAGCTTCTGTCAAAAACTGTGATAGTTCCTCCCAACATTCTTGTATTTCAGGACTTATACTTGTTTGCTTATATTCATTAGGTATTCCAATTCTAAAGTTACTTATATTTATAGTATCTGGTAAATTAAATGGTACATATTCCCTTCTCACACAAGTGGAATCCGCTTCATCTGGACCAGCTATAGTATTTAAAACTAACAAAGCATCATCAACATTTCTTGCTAGAATACCAGGGACATCCATTGAATTTACAAGAGGAATAAGTCCATAACGTGAAACTAAACCATAAGTAGGTTTCAAACCAATAAGACCACAATAAGAAGCTGGATTTCGTGTTGAACCTCCTGTATCTGAACCTAACGCAGCATAACAACTTCTAGTAGCAACTGCTACAGCAGAACCACCACTGCTACCACCTAAAATAGACACAGTGCTTACTGAACATTTAAGATAACAACCTAATGAATCATACCTGCTATATACCATGAATTTTCATTTGAAGATGATGTACAATGCTTCTCTGAATCACTACTACAAGAATAATAATTTTCTAATACATCTGAGTTCCATAAATTCTTGGTTGGTCCATAATATGAGTCAATAGTGCCAGAACCCATTCCAAATTCATCAAGATTAGTTTTACCAATTAAAACTGCCCCAGCATCTTTTAAACGTTTATATACAGTTGCATCATATGTAGGTGTAAAATTTGAAAGCATCTTTGACCCACAAGTTGTTAAGTGATTCCTGATGCAATAGTTATCTTTAACTGCGACTGGAATTCCATCAAGTTTACCCAACAAACTTTGATTTTTCTGTCTTGAATCTGAATCTTCAGCATGTTTCTTTGCTGTATCATCAGTCACAGTGATATAAGCATTAAGTGGTTTGATAACTGATGTTAATTTAACAGCTGCTTTTGTGATATCAGAAGGACACACATCACCTGCATGTATTTTTTTACTTACTTCCTTTATCGGAATAGACAGTAATTTGTTCATTTTTATTAACACAGTTTATTGGAACTATATGCTTGTAACTTCCATACAAAACATAACCTTTATTTACCGGTAGAAACAACCAGGAATTAAATTGATATTTTATTAATTTTATAATATGTTAATTAGTGTATTGTAAGGAAAACAAAATGCACTATTAATATATTATAATTATTCATAATGTCCATTGTTACGTTTCATTGTGTAACTGTTTCAAAACAAGTTGCATTTACTCGCGTGCAATTCGAACCTAACTATTTCATAAATATTTTCAATGAAACAAACAGCAAATAATACATCAATGTACTGGGTATATAAATATAACGATTATTCAATTAACAATTATCATTTATTTGATTCCTTCCAAAAATTATGTTTTCAACTACAGCAAGCAAAAGATACAAGACCATATTAATTTTGGTGTAGTAGGCGCTCATTTTATTAGGAACATAGGAGGATAGAAGAGTTAAACTGTCATCAATGTGTGAGAAGGATAACCATAACGAATCCCTAATATCATCCAAGAATTGGTGACGACATTAGCTCCTGGTACCAGGATAATAAAACGGGACAGAAGGTATTAGATAAAGACAGATACATGTTAACAATGCATATATTACGTTTCCGGTAGATGACGCCACCATATTGACAGCCGGCGAAGCACATCGCCACATTTGGAAACATAAACTTGTAGAATGCATAAAAAAATTATCAACGATGAATTTCAACATAAGAAAAAGATGGAAAATAGTAAGATCTTCGACTTCTATAAATAATTCATGAATCTTTCAACATACATGTCCTGGATTACCTTAATGACTTCCTACATATTTTATGTCTGATGCAATAAAATTGTTTTATTAATTATGTATTACAATCTTTTTAACATTGCAGATTAGTATAATTAATTGCAATTATGGAATAGCATTGTCGATGTGAATATAGCATATTATTCGTTCAACAGGAGTTGGTGCTTACTTTGCGCAACTCGGTTGGCTTCAGTACGTCTCCCGCCATTTCGCCTCGATTCGCTGCAATGTTTCCATTTCGCCATATACAGGATGAACAATACGGCCTACAGGAAAGGAAAAAGGATGTAAAATATAGGAAATAACAAAATAAGAGATCACTGGGTATATGCGTTTACCGCCACGAGAAACGCAATGCGCATGTACTTGCTCTTGGTAAAAAAATGTATTTCCACCAATCAGGGTTGATATGCGCAGAACAGAGCAAAAGTCACCAGTATTACCAACGTGACTTGCTAAAATTTGAAATTTTGCTAATCGCAGTAGCGCTATCTTCGGTAGCGGTTATGTAATTCTAATTTTATGAACTTGTCATCCTGCTTAAAACTATATTCAGGGTATACTTGTTGCTCACACGCGGCGAAGTTGCTTTCAGCGGTTGGTCGAGGAGGGAAGAAAGGAGATAGACGAGTGTTGAAGGGTTCCTGTTACGTTAACGTGGGACTTCGCGAGCTTTCCGCAAGCTGGTGAGCGCGTTTCGATCAATTAGCATATGCCACTTCCTAGCGGGAATTTTGTTTCACTAATCATATAAAGGTAATTATGTGACAGTATATACTATTGCTTAACCCAGTGAACTTCTGTTGGATTTCGTATGTTGACAGGAAACGATCAAGTCTCGAGCCAAAACTTGACACGTCTTTTTTTTTATATTAAAGCAAGAGGCCGCCTTTCTAACCTAAATTCTAAATTCTGTCAGGGATCGTTACGGTGGGGTAGGGTAAAGAGGACGACAAGCGCGGATCTCCTTCTCTTTTTGACAGCTAAAAATACGGTTTTTGACGGAGCATTCGCAAGATCGAACACCTTGACTATTTCGGATACGACATAGCGCGCACCCGTGTCCAATCGTTTACGTAGTTTCTCTCATAAAATGCGCAATTTTTCATTTCTCACTGAATCATAATATATTTTTACGAGTCACAGTTATAATGATATTATTAATTCAAATTTCCATATCGAGTGGAAACTACTTGGCTATTCGTTCTTGTACACACGCAATTCATTTACCGTGTATTTAAATAATCCTAATTATTTTTTGATAAATTCATACATGCATGTATTAGCTTAGTTGATAGGATGAATTAACAAAATACGAACACATGCTTGTATGCATTATTAGTTTCTTCTTTTCTATTTGTAAATAAAATGATATTGTGTGCCACAAATATTAATATATACTACATGGTTAGCAGTTCTTATCTAAAATAAACATTTATTATATTAAATAAATTTCACTTAAGGCAATTCATTCTAAGCATGCAAATCATATTATGAAGATGACTAAAGTTTAATTTTAGTATTTGTTATTTTTACTGTTATAAAAATATACTCATTCTTGAAATTATAATTAATCACCACTTAAGTTTAGATCAGTCACAATTGTTATAGATAATTTTATCTTTTATGTCTAATCCGTATTATTGATACCTATATTAGACTGAATATGTTGATAAACATTTACTTGTCTATTTTTTATAAGTAAAAATAGAATGATATTTTTAGAATGCTTGATAAGTGGAAAACAAAATGATTATCATTTTTTCCATATACTGTTTCAATTGTTATTGTAGATTATGTATGTTTTACTCTTATTTCTGGTAAATATATGATCTTATTTTAACAATAATTTTGTAACATAACACATCAGTTTTCTTTTTTATCCTAAATACCAGTCCTAAAATATGAGATTCATAAAATAAGCTTAAAGAAGTCATCTGATTTTTGTAGTTTCTATTAATAATTTTAATGCAGAATTTTTTGGAATAGTCTTAACATCATTTGTGGTGACACTACTCTTACAAAATTTAAAGTTTATGAATATAAGAGGTAATTTAGTATTCTAATTATAGAAGTATATAGTAATTCAAGGACACTGTTATACTTGGATGGGCTATCATTATCATTATCATTGTTGCATAGATACCAGCTTCCTATTTGATGTAATATTCTATTTTCAATACTATAATAATCTTCAAATTGTTCATAATGTACTGAATATAGTTTAAATTTAATTTCACTGGATATGTTATTATGTTGGAAATTAATACATATTACATTAAAACTTTTCATTTATTTTGCAGAGGCTCAACATGTCACATCATTTTGTCACAGTTTGCGTAGTATGTGTTTTATGTGCTGCACATACTCCTTGTTCAGCACACGTTGAATTGTCACATGCTGGGAGCACAGATCATAATTCTGTCAAGTCTGAAAAGTTACCAGATTCTAATGAGCAATTACAACCATCTTGGTTACTAATGAAGTATAAAGAAACACAGCAGAAAGATGTGAGAAAAATGAATTCAAATGGTGTAGGAGCTTCTAATGATGGTGCTGCTAAATCTTCTAATATATTAGATAGTGCCAACAATACTTCCTCCTTGTTGGTACCAGTTGCCATAAATGAAGCTCATGCTAAAGCAAAAAATCAAGAAAATGTAAAACCTAATGATAATATTCATAATACTCATATTCCAATAACACAGGAAGATTCCTCACCCACAAGAAATATAGAATTATTAGAAAGACTAGGTCAAATTGATATAATTTATAATGGAGACTTGAATTCAGTTCAACTTGTTAAAGATGAAGATTCTCTTAACAGGATCAGGACAAAGAGAAATGTAGATGTTATAGATGAAAAGTATTTCATGAAAAGGATTTTTGAAACTTATGGAGATGGTACAAGCATAACAATGGAAGGTTTTGAAAAGTTATTAAAAAAATTAGGATTATTAAGGTTGTTAACAGATGTATCTAAATTGGAAGAACATAATGTGGTTACTAGTCAACATGAAAATCCATTAGGTAAGTTTAATTTAAAAAATTTATTAATGCTAATTATACCTTTAAAATATGAAGCATATCTTAAGAGCACTTTAGTAAAGTGATTGTCTTATACAGTGTATAGCAACCCACTGCTTTTAATTACCAATTACCAGCCTATCAATCATAATAAGTAATGTAGCTACATCTGCTCTACTACAGACACAGTCTAATAATATTTTTAGTTGATTTAATTTGGAAATCTTAATAATAATAATTTAGCTTAACTTGTTCAATTGACTCATCAAGTTACTTATTGATTTTATTGAACTCTTATTAAGATCTTTATTAAAATATATTTGTTCTTTGAATGAAAATTACATTCAATATATTCAGTAAAATTAGAAAAAAGTAAACATAAAAATAACTAGACAAATTGCTTTACTATTATGAATGAATAAAATATGATACCACACTTGCATGTTATTGCATGAGATATCAGTAATCAAATAGTTATATCTTGAGTAACTATATCCTTGGTGCAGATAACTAACATTTTTCTGTTATCAGTAGCTTTATAGTGTAATGTTTTTGCTACTGAGGAAAGTATGTCAGAATGTGTGTCCTGTGAAATAGTGCTTCTTATTTGTTAACAAAAAAAAATCATTTTCCAAATTCACGAATTTGAATTTGTCTTTTGAGTAGCTAGCTTTATTTAATATTATATAAATCAAATTTTTTGTTGTAGATAAATTAAAAAGTTCACAAAACAGTGGCCTAGCAGAACATGAGAATGAAGATAGGAAAGAAAGGGTAAGACAAATTATAATTAGAATTACATTTCATCATACAAAAACAAATAGATATATTCTTTTCTGAAGATATTAATTATTCCTTATAAGTGATTATCCCGCCATTTCAGTGCTTAAGTAGCAAAGAATTATTAAGTACTGTTGCAAGAGATATACCCTATAATTTCATCTCTAATAATAATTCAACATTACCAAGTTGGCTTTTTGAACGCGTGTGTCCAGCTCTTGTTTATCAACTAGCAGGTGAATCAAGTTCAGACAGAAATGGATGTATACGTGTACCAGAAAATTATAAGCCAATAGTTAATAAATACCTTGGGGAAGACATGACACGTAATATGGTTCAAGGTATACAGGCTCAATATGATAAAGGAAAATTTTGTTTGTCTATCTATTGCACAATTCTAAATATATTATTTTTATTCTTTAGTGTGGGCCTATTCTACATTCAGTATTTTAATAATCAGTCTATGTGGTTTACTTGGTGTAGCTGTTATACCTTTTATGGGTAAAGTTTATTACCATCAGTTATTGCAATTTTTAGTTGCTCTTGCTGTAGGAACACTATGTGGTGATGCTCTTATTCATCTTCTACCACATGTAAGATGAAATTTAAAAAGTGTATTTATTCTTTGTGAACATTTTTTATTTACTGTTTTTGTATCTTTTTGTCAGGCAATGATGTCTCATGATCACAGTCATGAACATAGTCATTATGATGATAATCATGGTGAAGCAGACCAAAAAGAACAGCACAATATGAATATGTGGAAAGGGCTAGTTGCAATGATGGGTCTTGCACTTTTCTTTTTTACGGAAAAAGCTTTAATGATGTTAGCGGAATGGAGAAAACTTCGACAACGTCGTAATAAAGTAAATATTAATTTTACATAAAAGAAAAAAATTCATGGACACATAAGTAAGTAAATAACTGTTAATTTTAGTTACCTACACGTGTTAGAGTAATGAGAGAGACTGATGGACCAAACAGCAATGTTGTTGGAGAGAAATTGTGCAAACATAAATATTCGTCGTATCCATACTGTTACGGCGAAATTAGCACTGAGACTCAAGGTACAGTTTTCTTTATTTACTTACAGTTATAACATATTAATTTTTTCTTTATCTTTACTTTTTAAACCTCATTAAAGAGATAATTAATCTATCATAAAAAGGATATTTATTATGCAGATAATCATCACAATCGTCAACATAATAATCATGAAAGACCTCCCGTGATCGAGGAGGAAAAACCTTTGACATCAAATTGCAATTCGGTTTCAAAAATTATGGCCAGTGACGTAGAGAAGAAATTAAATGAAGATTGGAGGCTAGAGGACTCTATCGTAAATACGAAGAAAACTGATGGTGCAGATGTACCATTAAACGAGTCAGAAAGTTACACTGTTATTATACGTGAACATGAAACAAAACACCATGGTCATACCCATTCTCATGGTACTGTTTGTTGGTTTAACATAATTTGTTATTTATATTGTATTTATTAAATAATGTAATATTTGATTTTTATAGGTCATGTCCATTCTGCGCCAGAATCAATGTCAAGCGTTGCTTGGATGGTAGTAATGGGTGACGGTTTACACAATTTTACAGATGGCATGGCTATAGGTGCAGCTTTTTCAGCAAATATAGCAGGTGGTTTTTCTACAGCGATAGCTGTATTCTGCCACGAATTACCCCACGAGATAGGTATATTATATATAATATTTATAATCTAGTATAATATAAAATTCGTTCAAAATTCTAATATAATTATTCATACCAAATAGGAGACTTCGCAGTTTTATTAAAAGCCGGAATGAGTGCTAAACAGGCTGTTTTTTATAATTTGTTATCTTCCGTACTTTGTTTGTTCGGTATGATATTTGGTGTATTATTAGGAAGTACACCTGCTGTAAGTAGTTGGATGTTTGCTGCTGCTGCAGGAATGTTTATATATATAGCACTAGTAGACATGGTAAGTGGCTATTAGTTACATCTCGTTGTTTCGTATCTTCATAGTCACATTTAATTAGTGTACATATCTGATTTAGATTCCAGAATTATCTTCAAGTCACTCTGTGGAACGTAGCTTTCAATGGCAGTGTATTTTACAAGCATTAGGGCTATCGTGTGGTCTGGGAATAATGTTAATTATAGCACTATACGAACATGATCTTAAGAATATATTCAGTGATTAAGATTAACTTCATAAAGACTGAGAACTTTTTCGAACGATGGTAAGCTCTGCAGTACTTCCTACAGATCTGTTTATGGTCAACATTTGAGTCAATAAAATTTTGACTATGCATTCTTACCGAAACAATATTGACTTTTACTGTAACATAAGCAACTTTATTTTCCTTCACGTATGTAGCGTAAGATTTCCTGTAGACAACAGCTTAGTCGATTGTTAAAAACTTAAAAAGGTACTACAAACAGATAAATGCTAAATAATTTATGATGTTAAGAGTACTCAGTGCACAATTGAACAGCTAAAATGAATAGTTTGATGAAAGTTAGATAATGCAAATATGACGACAATATTTGAAGTATACTTATTGAAAATCATGTTTGAGACGATGCATTCTAATATATAAAGAAAGCCAAAAGTTGGGCTAATATTTGAGTATTTTGCAACTTATTGGACAAAATCTCATAAAAATAGGTAATTGTAGTCAATTTTTAATCGATAGATTTTGATACTTTACTAAAAGTACCACATAAGTTTATGAAAATGCCATGCAGTTCTTTGTCTAATTTGTATTATACATGATTGAAAGTTAAATTGTAGGAAGATAGAATGAAGTCAATATTGATAAGAACATCCTAAAATATCTGTTTAACATTTTGTTTGGTTTAATACAGGTGTATGATTTTAAGTGTAATATGTACTTTAAAATTTGGGTGACAATTATTAAATGCCTGGCATTTACATAATATATGTGTTTTCAGAGCTGTTGTATCAGTGCCCAAATTTGATTGTGATATATTTAACAACTGCATTCTTTATTTTGATAGAATTCTTTGAATAAATACTGCTTGAAATAAATATTTTGTAATTGAATCAACATTATATGTAATTCTGCTATGAATGTATGATCGAAGTTAATCAAATATTGTACATGATTTAAGGCGAAATTAGATGTACATTGATCGAGTCAAGATCAAAAACGCAAATTATAGAAAACTATATATTTATTAATCATAAATGCATTTCGATAAGTGTGCGAAGATGCTTATTTTTGAAACTTTGGTGCTTGTTTTTTTAACTTGTTTTCTTATAAGTAACCTGCATTTGCACAAAGTTTTAAATACTATACTCAATATATAAGTTGCTGTTTCAATAATTAATACAGAAATTCAGTTACCAAATAAGATTACTTGAAACCAGATGTTTTAGTTTCGCGGAATTATAAATACATCTGCTGTGCACAAAGTAATTTCATTCGATATTAACATACGAAAACAACTATGGTATATTACCATTTATAATAATTGGATATATGCATATATACATATATAGATAATTTTTAAATATCTTCATACTGCCACTATAATTACCAATAATTTGACTGGTAATTACTTGCAACTGTATGTACATATCTGCACGTCGAAAGATAATATGTACATGATTGAAACTTAAACATTTTAGCTGTACTTATACAAAACTCTTGAGAAAGATACTATGACTGTGAAAGCATTAAAACGTCTCTAATGTATTACAAAATTATGTTTTAAATGAAACTTTATCAGCATTATATTATTCTTTTATGCTATTGCATTTATTACAAACATGGCTCTAACGAATAAAAAGATGTGTTGTAAAAAAGATATATTATGCACATTTTTTTATTACTTAAAGAATATACAATCTAAATAACCAAATTACACCGAAACCTCATTTACTTATTGTAAGTTACTTATATTTAAAATGTATTTTGTTTGTGTACTAGTAAACAATCACGTCTTCCTTCGGCAAGAGCAAGACTAGCGAAGAGCGACGTCTAACCATTTGTCTGTCCCACTTGCGCTCCTCAAATACGAAATATGTCACACGCCGTTAGTGTTTATATAGATTGAAGCACAAGTGTGATAGGCGTTTAGTGACGGAAATTGCTATTCCCTCCAGTTCCCCTTACCGAAAGAAGCCATTATTGTTTGCTAGTATATCTTAACAATTAATGCTATAATTAATAATAATGTATTTTTTTACAGAAAATGTAAAAATTGAAAAAAAGCATTATATTCTTGTAAATTTGAATTTTCTTAAATTACATTTTACATTGATACTGATGTATTTAACCAAATAATTTGTGTATTATGTATATATATCATAAAGAATTCGGCTTTTTTTCATTTATAGCACGAACAAAAATAGTATGTGTTCTGATTTAAAAAAAAAATTGTTATTTTTAATGACAAATTTGTTTTGAATTGCTTCAATAAAATCTCAATGATCGTTTTATGAATACCTATTGTAAAATATATAATATATTTAATTCTTTATCTGTAACAAATATCACATCTTCCCTAGGGCAAAAGTATGTTATTTTAAATTGAACGACACAATTTAAGTTTGATAGATTTGTTTTATTTTGTAAATTAGATGATGAAATAAGATGAAAGTCTCATATTTACAAATGGAAATTATGTGCTATGACTATACATACCTAAAGCAAGTTCCATCAATATTTTTTGTTATCGAATGCACATTTTTAAATATAGATATTTTTCTTCACATTTTTGAGCACTTAATATAAATATTGTACATGTATTATAGTGTACAATCATATAAATAAAGTTAGCGTAATTATACAACATTAAAATTAGCATTTTGTTATTAAAAATCACAGACAGATATTTTGTCACATAGATACAAGGTCATCTCTATCACTCATTTGTGCTGATAAACTAAATGCTGTATCTGTACTAGCTTCACTGTTCAAACTTTCATTAAATACTGGTTTCATGTGTGCGGCGTCGCTCATCTCTCTCATTAACCCCGCCATGTCGTCATCTGGATCGATATCCTGAATCTCACCCACTACATCAATCTCCATAGATTGATTATCCGGTGCAGATATTTTCTGCATTTCAGGTTTTGATTCTTTAAACTAATAAATATGAAAATGAAATAATTATTTTCATACTTTTATCATTACACATACATTACAAGATTAATAAATTACCTTCATAGATTCTAATTTACACTCAGATGGTAAATTCATATGAAACACGCAATTTGTGTCAAAAATTACAGGTACTGGTTCGTGACATTCAATGTCAGCCCTTACCGCTCCACACGCTTTAAACAATACTTGATGTTGATCCTGTAAACACAAGATGATCATGTAAATTTACATTCACTATGATGCTATAACTTTATTGAAAATAATATTTTACTTTTAATATGTGTTTACGACAATGTTTCGCAGCGGGTAGAGTTCTTTCTCCGCATTTTACTCCACCTTCTGTAAAGATACATTTTGATATACTCGGTACCTTTTGTGCGGATCCATCGGTTGCCTATAACAAATGTATAATTTTTTCAATAATCTCACATCTTTATATTATTAAATCTTTTGTATAAAACATATGCTCAATTACTTGTGCTCGACGTTCTAACGATTTTCTATACAATATTGCTTCAACGCCACTTCGTCTATGATAGCGGTTTAAAGCTTTTAATTTTTCATAAACCTTTTTCTCTTTTACTGTTTCTTTGGGTTGATCATGTATACTACATAACGTTTCTTTTTCCTTCTTAAGAGCATGTAAATATTTTCGTCTTTTTTCTTTCAAGATATATTGCAGTCTTCTAAATTGATCTATATAAAGGGATTGTAACCTAATTAGTTTTTCCCGTGCAATGTAGATCACTTCTTCAGCGGTAAAGACTCCAGCATGCCTTAAAAAATTAATACTAATGATTCAATAGAAATTATAGTCTTATTTTTTGCACGAAGCAACTACTAAAGATAAGTGAATAGACATAAAAATAATTATGAAAATGTTATGTTTTAAATTTGCACAAGCCAAAGCAAACTAGCTTTACATTATACAGAAAAAAAATATATTAAAGTATTGTAGGTGTTTGTATAAGCTTATTCTTACTTTAGAGGATCTTCCTGTGCACTGTATAAACTTTCATTGTCACTGTCATCAAGATAACTTCCTCTTAATGTATCACTTACTACTGTAGGTTCAACATCACTATCAGAAGAACTTGCATAATCTAAGATATCACATCCGCTTGCATTCACTCTGTATGCATCAACTTCAGCTGAAATTTCAATTTAAACTTAATTTCTATTGTTCAAAAGATCCTATTTTAGTTATAAAAATGTTACTTCATAAAACCTTACTAAAAGGATCTAATGCTTTAACTTTCCCTTCTTCATCTTCAGTATCCTCAGTACTTGAATCTGTTCTTTTAACATAGTGACTTAAGTTAAGCAAGAGCATTTCAGGTGTCTGTGGTAAAGAATGACGTGCTGTTGACTTTATACGTGCTATTTGAGCTTTTCTGGTATGTTCAGAACAATACCTATAAAAAAATAAACATTTAGACATTATATAAGGAGTCATACATTAAAAAGGGAATTCAATAAATTTATATTTGTCACGTACGAAATATCCCTCCTATCAAATTTTGGTGCAGGATTTTGGCATTTCCTGCCATTAGTATTATATACAAAGCCACATTGTTTATAAGGTGCATTTGGATCTTCAAGAATATGTTTGGAGCAATAATTATATCCTTCTAGACAAGGCTGTGTACATTCATATGATGAATACAAACATGTTTGTGTTTGTTTTGGTCTTTTTGTGACAACAGTATTCACAGGCATTGTTTTTGGGATCCGAAACATTACTTATCTATAAAAAAGTATACATATAACTAAAGTAAGAGTTTCTATAATTGTTGCAAGAAAACTTAACAGCGAAATTGCAATTGATAGATTATTATTAACTATAGAAACCTTTGACAAAGTTGGAAAAAAATATATACTTAATTGCAAATTTAAATTTCGCGCGGTAATCTACCTCGGAAGTCAACGTAACTATAACAGTTTTATTACTTCAAAATTATTGATATATTAAGGAAAATATGGTGTCATAAAAATCGTTTTAAATAAAAGATGTATATACGTATCAGTCTTTATTCTATTTATTAGGGTAAAACTATTGCATCATGCATATTTGTAACAAGTGGTAGTTGGCCGCCATTTTGTACGTGAGATGTTGAATGAAGTTTTATTGATGTATGTACGGATTTCGAAAGAATGAGGCGGACATGTGGTCAGTTTTTGTGAAAATTTGAATGAAACGAAACAAGCGGGACTTTAAAAAGCCGCGACGCTTAATTTCTTCAAAACTTACTGTGATCTCTTACATTAAATCTTCCGAGAAGGAAAGACAGTGCCAACCGATTTACACTTGTCACCGTCAACGTACTTCTGGAAACTTCAAGAGAAAAAAAAAGATTATATCGTGAAACGTAAAATATCGGTGATTGTAACAGTAAGTCTGAAGTTGTATGCGAATAAATAATACTTGAAAGGCAGCACTGGGTCCTTCTGTAGGACCAAGATAACGGGACGCTACTACAGAGATAACATTTGCTGCGTGCACATACTACTAGCTCAACGACAGTTTGCGTCACTTCCGGGAGTTTAAAGCCTAAAACTTCTAATTGATAAACTACGTGATTCATACCTATCGTATATAGACTGAAAAAGTTCAGGTAGGTTATGACGTTGGTCGTAAAATATTAACAAAATTGGTTTTTACGTTACACACGCGTGTTTACTGTTAACCGATGCAACGTGCTCACAATATAGAATTGTTTCGATCGAACAGTATAAATTTATTATATTTATTGTACTGGTACAGTTACATCTTTTTGTGCAACAAACAAGCAAGTACCTAATATTTTACAGCATTCGATTGAAACATTACCGAATCATCGATTAAATAAATTTTGCGTATATATAAAATTGTTACGCGTTAAGTAACTTGTCTCATGTTATATAAGATACTACGAATTTTTATTTTATCGTCGTAATCAAAGTTACTTGAACATTTACGTTTACTCTTCGTAACCAACCTCATGGCCTGCCAGAAATTTACAAATCAAGTTTTTTAATGTGGTGTATGATAATACAAGAATGAAAAATACGTACGGAAAATATTTTCGGACGAAAATTGACCAAACTTATATAAAATCTACCGAGTGCATAAAAATACAATAGTAAATAAATCTTGATATTGTGATGCATTATTGAACAGTTGACTTTATTAATTTATTATAATACAAAAAAAGTTTATTTTGTAAAACGTTAAAACAAATAAAACGTCCATAATATAATATTAACGGTATTACGAAGTTTCGTATAAACCTGCAAAGTACGACAATCTTATACATATAATGAACATAATGAAAGTATTAAAGCTTTCTTAAAGGTGCATTTAGACCGAGCGATCGAATACTCTTTTCCCATTTCAGCAAAATTCAATAAATGTAAACATTGCTCATCGAATCAGTTCGACGCAATATAATTTGGCACGATTTATGAGAATTCGAGTCGATCTGATTTAGTTCGATGCAATTTCGATTCGACTCGTTTTGCGATTCAATTCGATATGATTCGATTTACCACAATTTACTTTACCCTGTTTCAATTCAAGTTCGAATGCTCGGTTTAAACTACACAAACATTCGCTCGTATTCAAACACTTGGTATGAACGAATGCTCTAGCTCGTTCAGTCTAAACGCACCCTAAGAATTTTTAATTTTAAAGCAGTGTCTTGACGTTGGACGCGTATCGAACGATTATAAAAATACATATTACTTCCGGTATTTCAAATACCGCGTGTGCGTAACATACAATATAAAATGTGCAAAAGGTAACTGTTCGAAAAAAAGATCGAGTATCGATGAAGGAATAGTAAGATCAGAAGGGGGACCCATCTTCAACAGAATTAATGAATGATTCGTTTCGTTGCTTAAAATTCTGCAAGTATGAACTTGCAGTTTCCGATCAGCGTAGTGACGTGAAGTTTTCAACGTGTCGCTATTGTGCATTGTGTGCCCGCCGCCACCGTCGCGACTGCCGTGAAGTGCGCATCGTTAGTACCGAGTTGTGTGTACATATAAATGGCGGCTGACGAAAAATGGTACTTTACGAAAGAACAGCTTACAAACACGCCGAGCAGAAGATGCGGCATCGACGCGGATAAGGAACTGAGCTACCGGCAGCAGGCAGCGAATTTCATTCAGGATATGGGACAGCGGCTCGTGGTGTATCCTTTTAACGGAATGCGTGTTCAGTTGCGTGTTTCCTAACTCTTCCCTTTCCCCCTATCCTCGCAATCACTTCATGTTTTTCCTCTTTCAAATCATTTAGAACAATCGCGTACGTTTACGCGGTCGTGTACTTTTTTTTAATGATTCTCAAGTTATTCAAATGCCGATGTTAACGCGAGATACGTAACATGTTGTAAACATGAATGACGTGCGAAAGAGGAGGTCACGCGTCATGATTACGGTTCTCCATATTGAACTTCATTGTGTTACGTTTAGTACACGATGAATTTCGGCACCTTTATGCTATTCAGTGAGTCCATGCTGATCGTAGATTATTGTGGGTAATTGAAAATGCTCGGCAGAATTTTGTTGTCCGAAAGGAGGACAGAAAATAGGGTCACGAAAAGACAGCATTATTTGCTAAGCTAAGTTTGACAGTAGTGCCAACCAAAATCGTGGTTATTGCTGATATTTCTTATGCAAGTATATCATTTTTTATTTTCAATTTGTTTTCATTGCATATCTTGAGATTGCATCTATAGTGAATATAATTTCCTGCTAATTGCTTATCACTGCGTGTTTATGCAAACTGTGTTTCTTGGTTTGTAAACTGACACATTGTTTTTATTGTCGTAGAGAATTTTTCCTACTGAGAATTGATTTCAATTCGAACTTGTTTATAATCAGATTTTATTTGAAAGTTTTTGGTCATTATAATTTATGCATTTTTGTTCAACGACTTCTTTTAGAATACAGCATACATTTGTATTTTCTATAACATTTTTATGTTTCAGATACATGTTTGAAAGTCATAAATATCTTAATTATCTTTCCAATCGACAGAACTTCGGCATGTTCTTTGTAGTATTTTCAGTTTGAAAGTTATAAGTATAATTTGTAATATAATACATAGATTGCAGTTTGAGTAATGTTGAATTGAATTTCTTTGTATTATACAAAGTACACTAACATTACTCTATATATGTATAACAGTCTCTTTATATCATTTTATATTTTCCTTTTATGTGATTTACTCTAAAGTTCCAGTTTATATATTTTCCTTTTACTTAGGTAATGAATAATCTAAAGTATAAAATATTCATGTGATAAAATATATAAAGCAAGAAGATCTTAAAATACATAAGGAACAAGTGAAAGTCAAGATTAAAGCAAATTAATATTATGTGATTTATTTGATCAAGTTTTTTATATTAATGTAATATACAGATTGAATAAAATTTTTTCAATATAATATATTGTTCCCTCCATTTTCTAATCTTACCATTTAATGTAATTATTAAGTGTTTTAGTTATATTTATTGTTTTTAATATTGTTTTTTTTTGTTGTTAATATTCTGGTAGAATTAACAATGTATATCTGTTATACAAAATATGCATGTTTGAAATATTTGTTACATATTAATTATGTGAAATACAAGAATAGTTCAGAAATAAGTATAGAAATACTAATCAATATTGCAAACTAAATATAGATCGTTATTATTATGTTACCAATATGAAGAACATTCTTTATAGCAAGTTATTTTGATTCATTATATTATACAATTATTTTGCATTTATTTATGTAACATTTGTTACATTAAAGAAGTAAATGTCTTTACTTGAGATACATTTAAATCAGCAAAAACTATGACCACATTTGACTCTGAGTAGCATAAAGGATCATTTACTTTATGATTTATTAAAGGCACTATAATTAATAATTCAATACTATTTAAACGGTATTTTCCTTAATTAGTTTATTGTAGGTCACAATTATGTATCAACACAGCAATAGTGTATATGCACAGATTCTATGTATTCCACTCGCTGTCACATTTCCACAGGAATGCAATTGCGGCAGCAGCATTATTTTTAGCAGCAAAAGTGGAAGAACAACCACGCAAGTTAGAACATGTTATCAAAATGGCACATATGTGTCTTCACAGAGATCAGCCCCCACCTGACATCCGGTCTGAGGTATAATTGAGAGGAGCAATAATATTTGTGATATAACTAATGGCAAATGTCATTACTTAAACGAGCTTTTATCTACAGCAATACCTTGAGCAAGCTCAGGATCTGGTATTCAATGAAAACGTCCTACTGCAAACATTGGGGTTTGATGTCGCCATTGATCATCCCCACACACATGTTGTTAGATGTTGTCAACTGGTTAAAGGTATATAAATTATGTTTAAAGACTAATTTTGCTTCAATGATCTTATAACCAAATTACCATATTGAAAAATTGCATACAGTAATGAAAATTAAGATGATGTTGTCTTAGCATAACATTCTACTGAGGTATTATCACTTTTTTTGCAGCGAGCAAGGACTTAGCCCAGACTTCATACTTCATGGCATCTAACAGGTGGCTACACATTATTTCCTAGTATCTCTTACTCTTAGCAGTCTTCTGGTCAAATAGATGCCAGCTGGAGCATATTTCCAAGCTAAGACTGTCAGGCAATAGCCACTGGCGCAATTATACAAAATATGCATGTTTGAAATATTTGTTACATATTAATTATGTGAAATACAAGAATAGTTCAGAAATAAGTATAGAAATACTAATCAATATTGCAAACTAAATATAGATCGTTATTATTATGTTACCAATATGAAGAACATTCTTTATAGCAAGTTATTTTGATTCATTATATTATACAATTATTTTGCATTTATTTATGTAACATTTGTTACATTAAAGAAGTAAATGTCTTTACTTGAGATACATTTAAATCAGCAAAAACTATGACCACATTTGACTCTGAGTAGCATAAAGGATCATTTACTTTATGATTTATTAAAGGCACTATAATTAATAATTCAATACTATTTAAACGGTATTTTCCTTAATTAGTTTATTGTAGGTCACAATTATGTATCAACACAGCAATAGTGTATATGCACAGATTCTATGTATTCCACTCGCTGTCACATTTCCACAGGAATGCAATTGCGGCAGCAGCATTATTTTTAGCAGCAAAAGTGGAAGAACAACCACGCAAGTTAGAACATGTTATCAAAATGGCACATATGTGTCTTCACAGAGATCAGCCCCCACCTGACATCCGGTCTGAGGTATAATTGAGAGGAGCAATAATATTTGTGATATAACTAATGGCAAATGTCATTACTTAAACGAGCTTTTATCTACAGCAATACCTTGAGCAAGCTCAGGATCTGGTATTCAATGAAAACGTCCTACTGCAAACATTGGGGTTTGATGTCGCCATTGATCATCCCCACACACATGTTGTTAGATGTTGTCAACTGGTTAAAGGTATATAAATTATGTTTAAAGACTAATTTTGCTTCAATGATCTTATAACCAAATTACCATATTGAAAAATTGCATACAGTAATGAAAATTAAGATGATGTTGTCTTAGCATAACATTCTACTGAGGTATTATCACTTTTTTTGCAGCGAGCAAGGACTTAGCCCAGACTTCATACTTCATGGCATCTAACAGGTGGCTACACATTATTTCCTAGTATCTCTTACTCTTAGCAGTCTTCTGGTCAAATAGATGCCAGCTGGAGCATATTTCCAAGCTAAGACTGTCAGGCAATAGCCACTGGCGCAACATTCTGACCTGTTCTCCTTTTAGAAAACAAAGTAAACGTGAAATGAAACATTACAGATATCTTTCATATAAAATACAAATGTCTTTTGTTCCATGACACTGTAAAAGTACAATTTACGTAAATTGCATAAATAGGATATAAAAATTTGACACGATACATGAAAGTTTACTTTGATTTCGTACGTTTTCTGAATTCTAATGCGAATGTTTAAATGTCAACAGTAACTTTTGGGGAGGAATGTTGCGTTGCAGTCGCGGTAATGTCTGATTCTAAAGAGAACGTATGCCAAAGCGAAACGAAGTTTATTTCGTAAACTAAGTTCACGATGAGGATTGCTTAATTGAAGGTAAATGAAATATTCTTAAGGACTGATCGTTTTCTCTTACATTACGGTATATTGTCCAATTTTTATTTTTATATTTACATACACTTATTTTAAGCTGTAGATGCACAAAACAAATTTAAGAGTGAATGAAATGAATGTGAAAGCAGTGAAATGGTGTATGAATGTTCAAAATCATTTACTGATAAAGGAAAATGCCATACCATTAGACTGTATTTATAACTAGTATGGTATGGCCATAAAATTATAATCCATTCAAGTATTATTTGATAATTTTGAATATGGGTGGAGAAGTAATGGCAGATCCATTTGATAATAATTGAATAATATTTGAACAGATTGTAACAGCAATTAGCGTAGATTGAGCCTTAATTTCTCTGTTGTTAAGAGGAAATTTATACTGCATATATCTACATGCTTATTGAGAAGTATGAAAAGTTTACAAAATTGATAATGATTCGATTTTCTCGAAACGATACGTTCTCTGAATACATGAAATTTCGTACCTGAAGTAATTTTGTTTTGCAATTCCATACTGATGTATATCAGTGTATAGAGACATATACACAGTATTAACCCAAAATTCACTCTGTCATGGGATTATGTTGGGGCAAACTTCGGTAAATTTGTTACGATACAACAGAGTATTGTAGGGCTTTCATGATTTTGTACCTAGAAAATCATCGTTCATCCATTTATTTGAGAATATTTATATAGAAATTTTTGTCTAGCTCATCGCGAAAGAGAGAATTGCATTGTGACATTTTTTTCAACTGTTTTGGAAACGTACTCTTTGGAATTAAATTCCACTTATGTAAGCTATAATTGGGATTAATGTAGTTAATTTTCAACGAATCGTAAGAAATTCGTCCTGGTTTTATCCCGATATTACCCATGTTTAATGGAACTAGTACTTTCACTTCTGTAGTACAGTTCTTTTTATGCCCTGGGTTATATTTCAACAAGGCATCGCTAATTGAAAGGTTACCAACTTTGCATCGACTTATAGAACAATTTTTTCTTTTCAGTTTACATTTGACAACCATGTGTCTGCAGTATAAACCAACGGTGGTTGCCTGTTTCTGTATACATCTTGCTTGCAAATGGTCCAATTGGGAGGTAAATACGACTAATGTTTTTCCGTAAAAAGGTTTTAAATTCTTCTTAAATGCATTATGGATATTCATAGATTCCACAAAGTACGGAAGGGAAGCACTGGTTTTGGTATGTCGACAAGAGCGTAACTTCCGAACTTTTACAAGAGCTTACAGCAGAATTCCTTCATATATTTGATAAGTGTCCATCGAGATTGAAAAGAAAAATTATGAGCATATCTGCCAATCAAAGTCCAAGCATTAATCACCCTAGTTTACCGAATTCACCTTTCGTAAGTACATTTATACATTACTTTATGTTTCTGTAATGTAGATGTCCTATTTTATATCGGTTTAAATCTGTACTAGAATACGATGAACTATCTTGTTTTATTTTTTTGTAGGATGCAGAACCTCGTAAAGTACAGTCTCCTGCGACGACGGCCGATGGTGGACCCACATTCCATGCAAGTCGACCTCATCATACGGAGAAACAAGAAGACAAGAAACAGATAGCTCCTGCGCCTTCAAGGCCACCCGTCGACTATAGGGAATACAGAGAGAAAAAGGAACGCGAACGTATAGAAAGGGAAAAGACGACGGTTCCGACTACTGTTCCGCAGAGTCACGCATCGGATATCAATAAGCATCATTCGCATCATCATAAACCTGTATCTAGTACAAACGTGCTGAACAAACATCCATTGCCTCTAGGACAGAAGGCGCTTCATCACAATCATCACCACAGACCAGAAGTTAAAGTCGGACAGCCGGTACCTCAGAGACATTCTAGTAGTACTCAAGCTAGGGAACCAAATCGTGATCCTAATAGGCAGAGGTTACAAAGAGAGTACAATTCGAGCACTGGTACAAGTAGCAGTAGTAATAGTAGTAGTACTCTTCATTCGCATAGTCATACGATGCCGAAAGATCCAAACTTGGATAATTCGCTGACGGATTCCACGACACACAGACCAGACGTCGCAACCCTTCAGGATCCAGTGGCCCATGGAAACATGCAGGAAAAACTTAGTAATAATAATCATAGCGTGCACCGAATAAGCGGCATAGAAAATAAGCATCAGGGTCACGATAAGCGGATGTACGACCCGAGGCATAAACCTGTAGAGCATAGGAAAGATAACGAACAAAAGCCATACAAATATCCGGACCCAACGAGAGTCGAACGACAGAGAAAGTCCGATACGTTGGAGCAGAGATGCGAAGAAGTAAGGAAACTCATAGAAAAACCATTACCTCCACCCAAACCTACACTCGATGTACCATACGCTTCAAATACGCAAAAACCACCTCATCATACTAAATACAATCAGTCGGAGAAATTGCAGACCAGTAGCGGTTCAATTTCTACCGACGCGAAGCTCACAACCGCGCAAAGTTCGTTCACGCAAGAGAAGTCACCGACCAGTTCCAGTTCGGCCTCCTTGCTCGCTCAGAAATCCTTGACGTCGAAGACGGTGGCCAGTCAACACACCGCTCACGGTGTGTCTCAAATTTTGAAGGACACGATCAAGAACGGTAGTTCCCAGTCGTCGAGTTTGTCTTCTTTGAACAATCTCGACGACCCGAAAACTGAAAAGCGACCACGGTACGACGATCCAGACAAATCCGACATGCAACAAAGCGCACTACAAACTCCTCCTGGCAAGCCGAAATCGCTGTTCAGTCCGGAGAAAGTACCAACGCTTCGAGAGTCCCACTCGCAAAGGCCTAAATCTAAACAAAAGACGCCACCCTCGGCTGCAAAAGTTCCTAAACAAGAACGCGTACCAGATACGTCGATAGGTTTTAATTTAGTATCACCTTTCGCGAGCCCGCCGGGCTTGCAGCAACCAGAAACGCCATCGGTCAAGCGATCGGCAAGCGATGTCTCTACAACGTCGCACAAGAGACACCGTGCCGGCAGTACTAGCGACAGTGGACAGCAAGCGAAAGTAAAAATGGAGGACACGTCCAGTTTCGAGGCTGTCAAGATGCTTGGTAGGGTACCAGAACTGATACAACCAATTAGAGACAATCCGTCGGCAAACGGTAGAGCCACTCAAATCGCCAACGACATGAAACCACCCGAACTCATCAAACCGTTCGACGCTGAACCGACGATATCACGTTTCGGTCCAGTGTCCACGCAGCAACAGATGTCGAATCAACAAGGTTTGACCAATGGTATGGACGCAAACTTAGCCGTGAAGCAAGAATCACAGGAGTTCCAAATTAAGAAGGAACCTTACAAGTCAGACATGCAAATAAAAATGGAACATTCGCAGATCAAGAGCGAATATTTATCGCCAATGAAGTCTGCTCAAAGTATAAGTGCTCTGCTTCAGGAACCTCTAGCGCCGTTGCCGTCGTTGCTGCAGAACGTGCATCAGTTTAGTCAAATAACGCCACAACAGATGCATCAGGAACAATACCAGCAACAACAGCTGCAACAACAACAAGCACCGCAACAGCAACAATCTATATCTCATTCGATGTTACTAACAGATAATCACGGTTTGGTCCAAAATCCGAGCATGTCTTTACCCATAGTCAACGAGCCCGTCATAGCATCTACCGTTGACATCAGCGCGTTTTCCGAACCCGTACAAACCAGCACCGAGTCAGTGCTTCCCGTACCAACGTCGACGACGGTAACACCCGTCCCACCCGCGGAAGAGAAGCGGTCGGAGCACCGCAAGAGCGAGAAGAAGAAGAAGAAGGAGAAACACAAACACAAAGACAAAGAGAAGACCAAGGAAAAGCACAAGCACAAGCATAAAGACAAAGACAAAGAGAAACACCGCGAGAAGGATAAAGAGAAGGGCGAAGAAACCGTAACGGCGGTACCCATCAAAATCACCATCCCCAAAGACAAACTAAATTTGAGCACGGAATCGACGGCCAGCACGGGAGCAGCAGCGTCGACAGAGAAGAACAAATCCCCTCAAAATACCAGCATCAAAATCATCATCCCCAAGGAACGGTTGAAAGGCACCGACAACGTGTCCAGTTCCCCGGCTCAGCCTGTGGTTCAGGCACCGCTGAAGATCAAGATCCGCACGGACGGGATCTCGAGGAGTTCAGCGGCTGCTCCGTCGACGACGAGTAGTTCCAGTATCGTCCCGGAATTCTCGAGCGAGAGTCGTAAACGCGAGCGTTCCGATCCGAAGGAGAATCCACTGGCCAATACACCAGCAACGAAGAAGCAATCGCAGGTGTCGTCGGCGGGCTACGGACAGCATCGACCTGGCGAACGGCAGAACGGCAGACACTATAGCTCGGGCAGCAATAACAAGGTACGTGGAGGCGGTAGAGGCGGCC